ATCTTGTCCTGCTTTCAATGAGATGATGGAGTATTTTTGCAGCACAATGAATAGCCTTGGTGAAACTGAAATCAGGAAAAAAAGAAAAACTAACTCGTGCACAGGCATCTAATGAAGCATGGAAATTCTATCACATATCAATTATGTACCACATAACTGCATCAAATCTCTTTACTGCTGCAGTAAACTCTGTTGAACCATCAAGAAAGTTTAATATTCCATATTCCATGTTGAACCATGTTCCATGTACTACTCTCCCTTTTCCTCTGCCAGTACTCATCATGGAAAGACTTCTGAATCACATATACGCTCTTTGTATTCACAAAAATTGTCAAAGGTAGATGGCTGTAACTTTTAATTGAGGAGCCTGGCCTTATCAAAAACTCATTTCTTATCTTGTTGCATCTCTTGATGGAATTGTCAAATGCAATGGAAATGTTTGAGGGATTGAAATCAAAGCCCCATTATCAAAATTTAATTTTTCTCTTTCTGAGCATTGTTGGATAAAAGATTTTTCCTAATGAAAAAGAATGAAGTTGTGATGCTGAAAATGAACAGTAAATACTTTTTTAAAATCCAAATTGTCAAAGGAAACTCTCAAAACCAACTGGGCGTCCATAAGAGCGGTAGTACTCGGGAAGTAACTGCTACAAGAATGCTTCCAAGTGTTGACTTGTCATCGACCCTTCGGATGGTTTTTAACAATAACATAACAAATTGCTGTAAATTTTAATATTTTGATGTTGAAGAAGCTTAAGAATAAAGAATAAATCGTTTCTCTTGCTATAGGGTCAATACTTGTAGAAACGTATATGAATGGAGTTTCGCTCATTGTTAATCAGTTCTTTTTCTGAAGCCCAACAGATACGTGAAAGTTTCGTCAAGGCAAAGTAAAGACAAAGATAGACTTGATGTGCAAAAGGTTGTGAGTACACCTTTATTTATATGCGAAATAAGGGCGCATAGGATAATTACACAGATACGGTTGGTATCTGAGGTATTGTAGGCTAAGCGACACTTACCTATCTTTGTTGTAAGGAATTACTACGGAAGATCGTTATTCGTAGAGCATTTCTAAGAATCTATTTCTTTCTTATATCGGTTAAAATATATTAGTCATTTGTGTGCAGTCATACAATTCCTTCTTACTTAAGCAAGTATGTAAGGCCATCCACTTACTTAAGCAGGTTTCTTACAGGAATCCTTTAGTAGCACTTCAAGTTGCAAAAGTTTGCTTACAGCTGGTAGATACCCCCGTAATCTTGGAGTAATACATTATGGTCTTTGGGTCCGCTTGGAAGTCGTATTTTGTCGCTATATATTTGATAAGTTTTTGGAGTTGAAATTAGTGTGCTTTAACTCTATCAGTATTAATGTATATAATCTTTGTCGTTGAGACATAAACAGTGAGCCATTGTTTCACTTATATATTTTGTGGTTATATTTCTAGTCCTTTTTCACAATGCAAGGTTAGGTTTAGCAATAAGGAATTTGTCCTTGCGCTTAGGATGTCCTTTCTATTGTTTGTTTTGTACAGTCCTCTTTTTTTAGGCTATCGGTCAGAGTGTCAATCCCAGAACTGATGCTGATACAACATTGGAAAAAGAGCCAAAATTTATTATGTTGCATAGTGTTCTGTTGAGCCTGTTTTGTGCTTTCTGTTTTAAATGCAAGACAGATCAGCCACAACTTAAAGCTGCAAAGTCTTGCTGAATTGTGACAATAACCCAGAACTGCTTCTCATGTCAAGACATTTGTTTTGGTTTAAGGAAGAAATTTCAACTGCAGTTATGCAGTATGGAATGAAAGAGGGGTCTGCTGCAAGGAATGCATTTGAGAAGGGCACCAGGAAAAAGCTTGTTTTAATGGGCAATTATTTTTATGGAAATTGAAGGTATTGCAGAGATAAAATGCTTCAAAATCTTAAGGATTAAGGACATTTACAAAATTCCAATCAAATAAAGGCATTAAATGAACTGAATTGTAGTCACTCCTACTACTACCAAATGCAGTTCCAGCTGCTCATCATTGGTTTTCCATACTCTGGTTTTATACTTCATACACCAAAGGGGCTACCATCCATTGAAAGGATCTTTCCAGACAGTGACATTCAGCAAATTGTCAAGGAAAGAGCAAATGAAGATTGAAAGAAAG